GCATTGATAATACACAAAGGCTTAATACATGTTTACATTTTGATAGAATGATAATCTTATGATTATATGATTTTTATCCTTCTTGCAAGTATGGATTAGATGGTTTAGCTACTGATTTTTCTTCTTATGTGTTCAAATATTCTCCATTGTTTGAATTAGTCTTGCATGTTCATGAATTTGTATTTACTCTTCATAAATATTATTTTCATCTATTCCCTGTCACCACTAATGAAAGTAAACATGAAGGATTAGAGTTTCACATGGTAATAATAGCAAGAAACAATTTTTATAGTTTTGCATGTGATTCATGATGAATACAAAGTGTGTTTTTCACAAAATAAGGAACTTCCAGCAAAACAGATTTTTAATCCATTTTAAATAAACCCAAACAAACTCATGGGAACACTTTCATAAAACCTGAAACTACTGGAGTTGGTTTAACATGTTTTCATGGTACTAGGATATTGGAAAAAAAATTATTTGACAACGTTTCATGGTCAAAACATATTTTTAACGTCATTGTTAGGCAGCAGCAATGTTGACTTTACTAGGTCACTGTTTATTCTATAGAATGAGTTTTCAAGTGATTCAAATTGGACAAGTTGGATTTTTAAGTTACCTTTCAAATGCAGCTGGTTTCAAAATTTTTTATTAAGCATTGAGAGAGAAACGTCAATTTTTCCAAAATGTGACAGAATCTGTCTAGGTTTCTTATAAAAATTATTTGACCATCTTCCATTGGTTTTCAATCTTCAAACTCTTCTGGAAATATGTTCCAAACTCAAATATCTAGCAAGCTATTTTGACCATACCTCTTTTTGACATTGTTTGAGGCCCCTTTTTATTTTTCAAACACAGATCACCTATGCTGGAAGTTAATGTAACTCACTGTCCCAGAAAAAACTAGTTTTCTTCCAAAAAAAATTTCTCTATTTCAAAATCGTTTTCAGCCCTGGTATTCTCTCGAAATATTTTTCCGAACTCGATGAACTATCACCAGTTAAAATATTGTAATGGTTGAACTTCATTTGGTATGGGTTTCATATTTTTTTTTTTCTGACCATACAGTGCTGAAAGAAGAAATGTATGAATTTCTAAGAAACTTGGTGAAGAGTCCTAAAACATTCTATCATATTTATTTTGGTTGCCATACATGATTGTGTTGTGCTACATAAACATTATGACACTATGGTCTTCAAGCTAAAACTTGCACATGTATCAAAATATGAATTCGACGAAATAAAGAAACACGAAATTGAACCGATAATACATTAAAATTTAAAAGTGTTGGGGTGAGTCCGGTTTAGAATCTTGCGCAAGTGAGTTACGAACCCTAACATGGCACGGGAAGGTATTTCGACTCTTATCAGTGTAGGCGATAGAAGGTTGGTGGTGTGGGTGTCACAACATAGACCGTTCCCTAGAAGCAGACCGTGATGTCACGACTCGGGTACGTAACCCTGGTACGTGGGCATCATTGGTAGTTACAGCAAGTAACAATTGAATATTTTACCAAGGGGGAGTCAGAATTGCCTGTGGCCTTTGCTTAGCAATTAAGTGGAAATAATGCTCCGCGGGGAGTTACTTAAACTTATCTGAAAAACTAAATCTATGAGATTTTAAAAAGAAAAGTTAGCATTTTTCCTTATGATGAAATACTACTTCCGTTTCTCATTGTTCTCATTGTCTATTGTTATTATTTAACTGATAGCATTCATGTTATGCTTATTAAGTGCTGCTTGTTAATCTATTCATTAATTGTGAATATTATCATCGGGGTGGGTATTTTGGGTTGTAGTATCTTATTGAGATTGTCGCTCATTGAGATTCCCGTTGCCCTGGCGTTTTATGCCAGGTACCGAAGAAAACGAAGGAAACACCAAGACCTTGCAAGGCAACATTCAGCCTTGGTTAGCTTGAAGAATGTTCAAGTTCCATGAATCATTTTTCTAAGTTTCCTAGTTTTTCTCTAGTTTTCTTTTTATATTTGTGTTTTCTTTTTCTTTTTTTTTATGTACTAAGACTAAGTTTTAGGTTTTATTAGGATTGTAATTTGAGAACTTTCAATTTTTGGGTTGTTAATTAATGGATGTTAGTAAAATCCTTAAATTTTGGGGCGTCACAAAAAATTCTTCCTAAACAAAGCCTGAGACCACATTTGATTGTTGGATTATTTTATGGAAATAGATATGAAGGAATTATTTATTGGAGTATAAGAGATAAGTTATATTATAGGAATAGATAAGATGAAAGATTAGATATATGATAGGATTGTGAGAGATAAATTATACGTGACATAATAGATAGGATAAATAAATTGATAGAAAGAGTGATGAATTATATTTGGTTAGAATAAAATAAAAAAATATAATTATTTTTAATTGATGGATGAAGAAAAAAAAATAATCTACACATGTCTCATTTTTCCAATATCACATTACCTATGATATTATTTAATCTGTCTATTTTTCTCTATTTAATTCTCTATATCAGTACTAAAATTATTTAAAATTTAGTACCATGCAAAGCAAACACTAGACATTGGCTAACAATGTTTAAATTGATTATACATTACATATTACACGCACCCTCATACATTATGGCTTCGTTTGGGAAGTGTATTGGCTTTTTGTCTATTTTAACATGGGTTAAAAAGTCTCGTTTAAGTTGGACTTTTTGATTTTTTTGATTTTTGTAAGAGAAAAAGTGAAATGATTATGATTTGAATGTAACATTTTATTTTATTTACTTTTTATTCTATTTTATCTTTTTGTAACTATTTTAACATTTTAACCTCTCAGCCCAATATGCCAAACGAGAGTAATGTATAGCCCAATATGCCAAACGAGAGTAATGTATACGAATTTTAAACTTCATATCAAATATCTTAATGCTGTGTTTGGTTGGGAGATTTGAGGAGGGATTTGGAAATGGAAAGGGAAAAGGTGTGTGAAATTAGGTGAAATGTAGGTATATCTTATTTACATTTCACCTAACTTTTCCCTTTTTCTTTCCAAATTTTTCCTCAAATCTCTCAACCAAACACAGCGTAAACAACACTTGTTAAGAAAACCTAACTTGTAATATAAAGATTCTATGCAATTGTGATAGGCATTCAAGAGAGTAGGGGATTCCATTGCCTTCTCTTATTTTGGACAAATACACACAGGTGGTGTCCGTGAAAATTAGTTATATATGAACGAAAAATTTATAATTTTAATTATTAATATTTATAATATTCCTTACTTTTTTGTAATTATTTTTTCTGACATTCACGGTCAGGTTATTTCCCCTTTCTTTTTTAATCTATATGGATTATTTCATTTTTCATTAAATTGTTGGGGAAATTAATAAAATATCCTTCCCCAACTTTTAGTAATAGGTGATGTTCAATATATTTTTTTTATTAAAATCCCTCGATAATATTATTAGAGAAATTACTGAAATTTCTTTGTCTGTAAAAATATTGAAAAACTCCAACTACTATGAAAATATTACATGTCTTTTATTTTATAAAATCTTAATATCGTGAACTTTAAACTAAAAACCCCGAAATTGCTTGGGTTAGTGGATTAAACAATGGGTGCAAATTTTATTTATAACTTTTTTTAACAAAGATTAATATTAAAAAAATTATTAATTTTTGAAAGACCAATGTAATCAAAATGTCATAGTTTTATATAGTAATTTCAAATCTATCATGATATAACTATTTTTTTTTTTTTTTTTTTGATAAATAAAACAATTTATTAGAAAAAGGCATCAAGATTAGGACTGTGTAAAATACTGCACAATTCGCTAAAATTGCACTGATCCGTATCAATCTGCACCGCTCTAACAGCTAACCGCGGTTTAAACTCTAAAATTTATAATCTGACAACCGAACCGCTCCACTCCTCTATAGTTAATACATATATATTTTTTAACTTTCAATGAAATATCAATGTAAAAATGAGTGTGAGAGAGATTTAAGTTATGAAATTTATTACAAATTAGTGGTTATATATATGAAACATATTATGTAAAATTACTTTGTGTTATATATCTAAAAAATATTATACAAATTAGTGTTATATATTATGCAAATGTATGATAATTAGTTAGAATATTCTTCAATCTGTCAATCCGCCAAAAATCGCCCAAACTGCAATTTGTCAACCTGCTAACCTACCATTCGGTTTATAATTTTACTCTCAAACTGCCTGAACTGCACCATCATGCACACCCCTAATCAAAGATGATGTAACAAATACAAAAAAGTATGCCAAGGGAAACCCAACCCAAGTACTACACAATTATACCATCTAGAAAATCTAAAAAAATAAACAAATCTGGATCAACTGTTCCCTCCCACCAACTATATGAAACTACAATAAGCCAATTCTCCAACCACACAACACCTTGATAAACTTCTTGAAAAGTTCATCGATTTCGCTCCAACCAAACAAGCCCCGTCAAGCAAAACGGCACCAATAGCCACACCTACTGCCGTCGATGTCCAATCTGAGCACCCCACCAAGCCCAAAGCATATCTGACACCCCTTTTGGTTGAATCCAAACAACCCCAAACAGTGAAAAAAATAAAACCCCACAGCCGCGAAGCCACTGGACAATGCAAGAACAAATGATCCACCGATTCTGCATCAGCACAATACATACAACATCGATTTGCTAACATATGCCCATGCCTTATCAAGTTTATCAAATTATCCAACGTGAGATTCCGCCCCAAAGCAGCTATCCACATAAAGAAAACAACCTTAGACGAAACACCCGACACCCAAACACTCTACCAAGGAAACACCCTACCGCACTATTCATGATACATATAACTATTTAACTCAATCTTTAAATTCATAAGTAAACTATCATATCTAAATTTAAGTTCTTGTTTTTGCATGATTAATGTAAAATTCCTTAATTTGAAATCCTTATTTATCCAAACGGACCCTAACACATAATTTGTTCCATACCCAAAAAAAAAACATAAGTACACACAATTTGCTCCATAACCAAAAAGAAAATAACAATCCACGACATTAAAAGAATAATTTGTCAAAACGCCAGTCATTGCATACAACAAAATGTAAGCAAAACTTTGGCCAAAACCAGAGTTTGAGGGTCCAGAAACTGGAACAATAATGCAGTGATATAAATTAAACTATTCTCAAATAGGTTGGTGTCTGATACAAGTTTAAACACAACCTATTATTTACTAAAAGCAAAGGTTGATACCAGCGCTCATTCTTCATCCTCTTCATCTCCATCTCCACCTGAAGCCTTCTTGGCAGCAGCCTTCTGGTTCCTTCTCTTTACCCTACCAGGGCGCCCTCCTCCCAGAGGACTTGTCAGTGAGAAATCAATGTGCTTCTGAGAGTCAACTCTCACCATGAAAGATGCGATGTTCACCACCTGCCTTCCAACCCTGCCCAACATAAGAAAATCCCAATATTATAAAACAAGTTAGTCTACAAGAAAATACACATACCCCATAGTTTGAAAAGAAAGATAATCATCTAAAAAGGATTGAACACTAGCACTATTACCAACAGGGATTGAGTTTGTTGGATGGGATTGACCAATCTTCACAATGCCCAAATCTCAGGCAAAGTTAAAGCCAAAATATTCATATTTTAAAATGCTACCCATAGGATGCTTCATAGAGGAAAACAAACAAGTTGGCCTTACTCTTCAGCAGTTTCAAGAAGACTTATGCCATTAGTGATGCAGACATGGTTTTTGTGGAGGACTTTAATTTTTCTATCCTGCCTTGGTTATTAATGTTCCCTGAAAATGCGCTATTCAGAGAAGCTTCTAACGGAAAAATTCCAGCTTTTATCCATACTTGCAGTTGGTTATGAGAAGTAACTGATTTTTAGAATCCAAACTTCCAGAGGCCAGAGCAAAAACCTCAAACAACTGAAACACTAGGTCCAAAGCCCAATGAAACACAATTGACACAGTATAGACTAACTAGAAATAGTTAAAAACTATGCATACATTAAGTTAGAGGGAGCATGGTAAACTTTTAACACATTCAAGAAGTCCTAGGGTCTTGGAAGGTCGCAAAAATTACATAAGAATCCAACAAACCAAATAAGCAGATCTGGCAATCCTTGTAGGCTTGTACTGAGTCCACATTTGGCATTCACTATTAATCCCGGAAGACATTTATGACCCCATGAAATTATTTAAACATTTTTTTGGCAAAAACTAGAAGATTGGCCGCATGTTTATGCAGTCATTATGTTATGTTTCTATTTTGCGACAACTTAAAGTTCAGTATAGAAATTATTCCTAGAGGCACAGTAGCAACAATAACTCCCTGAGATTGACCTCAAGCCTAAATAGCAAATTTGGAGTAGAGCATAAACAATACCAATTACCAAGGAATAGGCTGTGCTAGTTATTATGGCTAAATATGTAACTTTTCAAATCATGAGTAAATCATCACAAAACAGATAACTTAATATATCAATCCAACAAAGAAACGTAAAAAAAATAATAACAAAAAAATTAGTCATTTCCTTGCCCTTTTATGGCATCAAAACTTTACCTGATATGCCTCTGTCTGATGAGCACTCTGGCATGGTGGATGGACTTTGCCATACCCGTCTTGAACACTAGTGTTTGGAGGCGACGCTCAAGGAAGTTCTCGACAGTCAAGGCCAAGACATAATCAAGCTTATTCTGACTTTCATCCAAAAGCCCATAACGGTTCATCCTTCGGAGAAGAGCCTCACCCTCAAAAATTCGGCGGGGGTTCTTCTCATCAAGTGTAAGAAGCATCCTCGCGGCATTACGAATGCGGCTCAGAGCATACTGAACCCTCCACAGCTCCCTCTTGCATCGAAGCCCATACTCTCCCACAAGCTTCAGCTCTGCATCCAAACGCTCCTTCTCATAGGGACGACGAGGCTTCTTAAATGTCTTTCCATCTAATATTATACAAAATGGGTGGATAAATATTAAAAACCAAACAATGAATCAATCAGTAACTATTCTCCTTTCGGTTTCGAACAACAAATTAATTTTAAATCTAAGGGCATGTTTGGATCAGGGATTTGAGAATAGATTTGTTGAAAGAAAAATAAAATACAGGCTAAATTTTGTTAAGATTCCCTTTCACTTTACAAATTCCTACTCAAATCTTTGATCCAAACATTGTTTAAATTTATCATCTTTCAAACAAAAAGCCCTTGTTCGGTTTGTCTCTTGAGAAACAATTTTTAAGAAAAAAAAAATTTTAAATTTATTTGGTTGAAAAAAGAAAAAAAAACCAAAATCACTTTTTCTCTCACACTCATCCATTCAAATACAAATGAAAAAAAAAATTAAATTAAATCATCCCAAACTCCAAAACTATTTTCAAAATATACCACCAAACAAATTTTCAAATTTTACAAACTCTTTCCAGAAAATTATTTTTGCAAAATTGTTTCACAGATACAAACCAAACATGGCAAAAACTCCCCTTTAGGCTAATACAAGCATAACACAACAGAGGGAGTTTCCACTCAATTAGCAATCAAGGAAACATAAATTCCCATAATTCACTATTTCTTTTCCTATTATTTATCAACAATTAAACAAATGGCCCTATTCTGTTTGGTTGACGAGAAAAGAGAAGCAAAAGAAAATGATTATTAGAAAATCAAAGTGCAACAAATTCTGGTTTTTAGTTCAAATATAAAATTGGCTCATCCGAGCAATCACGAAAGTTCAACGAAATAAATCTCGTTAAACATGTCATTTGCTTATCTATGAAATTGGGTTCCTCAGCAATCAAACAACGTAATAAATAAACATAAAGGTACATTATTACAACTCCTTAATACACGAAAACTACAATGTCGAGCAGATCAATCAAAGGGTTGTTCACAAATCGAGAAACAAAAAACAAGGACACAAAACATGTATTGATTACAATGTCAATATATATGTATATGTGTATGTATAAATGGATCGATGCTTAAAAGTAGATCTTACAGTTTCGGTAGAAGTTGACGTGCACCATTGCTCTTCTCTCCCTCCGAGGAATCAAAATCAAATTGTCAGAATTCGAAGTAAAATGTATATATGCGCTTCTGTGTGTGAACCCTAAACCCTAACCATAGTTAAGTGGGTGAAGCCCAAAGAAAGAGGCTCGTGAAACTAGTATGGGTTTGGCCTATTTTCTGCCCTATTTGGACTCTGGGCCTGAACCTTTTTCTTGGGTTGTCGCCATTGGGACTCTTTGTTTGAGCTTAAATGAATTGATTATAATTTAATTTAATTTGAAATTTTGTGCCACACTATTTTGTATAGTTTTTACTTTTAATTTAGTAGACATAAATAACTTAAGCAAACTTTTAAAAAAAAATCTGATTACTTAGAAGATAGGGGACTTTTACTTTTAAGTTCTATTTTTTAATCATCAGTTTTTAACTTACAATAAGTTGTATCAAATAAGTCCATGGTTTCAAAAAAGTTCTTCGGCCTTCATGCCCAATATGAGTGGTTGAAAAAAGAGTAAGGGCTATTGTTGCACTAGATGGATTGAGATACTCTCTATCATATTATCATATGATCGTGTGATGCAATGAAAATCTCTCATCACAATTAAATTTCTAGTGAAAATTAGATCTTGAGAGGTTATTCGAGTTGAGCATCAGTTGATTTAAATCTTTAGATTTCCTTCTTCTATCCCCCATCTCCTAACCAATAAAAATAAATAAAATAAAGAAACAAGCCAAAATAAAAGAAAAAGTAAGAATAAAACTATACGCATTAATTGGTATATCAATTGATGTACTAAGAGAAGATATGACAAAATTTTAGAAGTATTGAATCTTTGTAATTCGTATAATGAGTAGGGCTCATAATTTTGAGGTAATAATGTCATAACATATGTTGATATACTAATTGATATATCAATTGATACATGAAACACCACTGACAAAGTAAAGCCAGAATGAAGATAATGTTATTTTCTTACCAAAATTTGATAATTGTCAAATTTTATATCAAATTTATTATAAGATTCACCAATGTTATACTTTGACAGGAAAGTAAGAGTGTTAGAGAGCTTAAAAGTTGAACTCTAACCAAATTTTGACAATGATGGCTTAAATAATAACAAACTGAATTGGTTGATGGCTGCAAGAGGCACATTGATAATTACATTTCATCCTTAATATTTGAATCATTGTTAGAAATTTGATTATCACCTACAACTTCGAAACTCATCAAGGAAATTGTTTTATCACCAAAAACAGATAATACACCAGCCATGTTTAGAAACAGATTATTTTAATAATTTCTTAACTTTTTATGAAAAAATATATATATAAAAATAAAGATAATGATGTAATAACTTACAATAACTTTTTAACTAAAATTAAAAATTGCCAACCTGACAACTTAATGTCAATTGTTGATTTGATTTTAAGGCCAAGTCTGGCATCCTTAAAATAATCCATCTTTTTATCTTTTTTTCATCACATCATCTCTCTACTTTTCTGCACATCTTTTCGTAAAAAAACAAAAAGTACACTTATTTAGATCATCCCAAACAACCCTTAAATCTTTAATTTTGACACAACTAAAATCCACAAAGTGAAGGGAAAAACAAATTAAAATGACTACGAATTGTTGATCAAACTCGAGAGAGAGAGAGAGAGAGAGAGAGAACTTCATAGTGCACATACCTCGAAACAGAAGTGGTACAACAAGGTCAAGATGTTAACTAGTGCTTTGAACCTTTTTTTTTTTTTTTATTTATTTATTTATTTTTTATGAATTTTTGAACTAGTGCTTTGTACTTGACTAGCTAATAGAAGAGTCTATTCATAAGAAGGCGAAAAGCAACTAGTGACAATAATTACATACTATCACACAAGAAGACAAGTAGTTTCTGAAACAACATGAAACAAAATAAAGTATCCACCACATAGATGATCATAAGAACAGTTGAAAGGTGTTTCCTTCAACCAAACTGGTCAGCAGTAAGAACATGGTGCAACGGCTCAGTATCTGTGATCCTCATCAAAAAACATGAAACTGCTACTCCTGGACTTCGCTTCCCTATCAGCCTGGCAGTGCAAGAGAAACAATATGAACCCGGTCTAATGAGAAACCATGAAGTTATATTTGAGTTGCATACACAAACTCACATAAATCCAGTGATTAGAAGGGTAAAATTTTGGAAGGAAAATATTATGGTGATTGGGCAAACCTTGCTGATGATATCCTCAAATGCATCTGGGCCATTTTCTGCTATGTATTTCTCAGCAGCAGTTATAATGTCATCCTTCGTACTGAAGATGTCCTTCTTTGGGATATACCAAATGTTAACATTCTGTGGATTAAGGTAGAAAGGCCTGATATAATGCTCATAAACATATGATGCACCACTGAAGTACGGTATGACCAACCAGCATGTTAGAATCAGCTTCGCATACGACCAAATCGGGATCCTGCCATAAGATAAGAAAGTAGAGGCAATAAAATTCAATGTGATCCACAGGACATTGCAAGTATATGAAGCTGGTAAAAGACTACAAAATGATGATCAACAAAGAAAGCCAAAAGATGCCAATTTTACATCTAAATTGATTTTATACCAAGTCAGCATAATGAAACCTTAGTCAAAAAAGGAAGGAGTTCAAGAGATTGAAATAATCTATATGCCAAACACAAATTTGATTGCCTGAGTAATTTCTGTTTGACAATGTGTACAAGAAATGTGTCGGTACAAGGATGGGTAGTTTTTAAGGTTAAAAAGGATATTTTATACTTTAGCTGCATTCCCTACTATTGTTATACAAACTGGGGCAAACTTCACTTTATCCCCTACGGTTTGGGCCGGGTGCGGTTTACTTCTTCACATTCGGGTATCACCACATAACCCCCATGTGGTTGATGGACCAAAACGCGCACTAACTTCTATTAACAGAAATTGTAAATTAACAATTATACCCTCATATATATATTATTTCAAGGAAAACCCAGTTCTTTCTCTCTCCATCTTCATCTTCTTCTTCTTCTCTCTCTCTCTCCATTTCAAACTTTATATGTGTACGTACATATACATATATATACATATACAATCTCATCTTTATCTTCATCTTCATCTTCTTCAATACCCTCATTAAAACTCATAATAATCACAAACTTTTTCTGGATTCTCTACTTTTTGAATCAAAGCTAAAGAAGGGTTCAAAGAATTAGGATTGTCCCATTAAATTTAATGATATAATATCCAATAATATGCATATATATATATATATATAGGCAACAACCTCAATATGTCTTATCTTCATCCTCAGCAGTTACCTCCCATTATAATCCTCCACAGGATTCAATTATGGGTCCCACAGGATATCCACCGGCAACAGGACAAGGTCCGTCCATTAATATCCCGGAAAGACCCTCATACACTGGAGGTAGATCAAACCTACGACGAGCAGCTCACAATGAGATGTGGAATTTACCATCCGCTATGCAGCAGACAGGAGCTATGTTCGTTATTCCCCAGACTCTTGGAAAATTTGATGATGTTTTCATGAGGTGGGAATCAATTACAAGAAGAAAAAAAAAACGATGAAAGATGATTTATACATATGCAATCTCATCTTCACTGTATATATATATATATGTGTGTGTGTGTGTGTGTGTGTGTGTGTGTGTGTAAAATATAATTTTGGGGATGAATCAATTTGATGTGGGAGGAGGTTTAAGGATGGCGTGTGAGGGGAGGGGCTGCGGTGATGGTGTGATAGATATGGGTGGTGGTTTGAGGGGAGGAGAGAGAGAGAGAGAGAGAGAGGGAGAGGTGGTTAAGAAAAAGAAAGTTGAAATAGAATGGCATCTTTTGTAAATTTGAAGAGATAGAAAGGGTATTTTCGTCATAAAAACGAACTCTCTCTATAGAGGCGCGTGGCTTTCACATTCTGCTATCATAGACAGAAAAGATAACTATACATTTTAGTCCATCAACCACAAGGGATTATGTAGTGATATCCGAATATCAGGGGGGTAAACCGCACTGGGCCCAAACCACAGGGGGATAAAGTGAAGTTTGCCCTACAAACTTTAAGGCTATGTTTGGATCAAGCATTTAAGGAGGGATTTATGCAGGGAAAGGAAATAGAAAGGGAAACGTAAATGAAATTCAAGCTAAATTTTGTTCGCTTTTTTCCTTTTCCTTTCCCTTTCCAAAGCCCTCCTCAAATCTCTGTCCAGACGAACCCTAAATGATTCAAGTTGTCGCAAAGAAAACCTTAGCTTGTACAAATGGTGCAAGTGCCAACTGCTAGCTTTACAGAGATTCATTAAGTTTATCATAACAAATATGGACATTTAATAAAGCGCTACTAATGGTGGTATGGTTGCTTAATGTTGCATTTGTGGCAGTAGTTACAAAAGAATGAAGTATTCATTGGTGAGGAGATCAACATGGACTTTGGAATTCAACTGCCAGGTTGTGTGCTCTAGAATTTTGCAAGGGAAAAACATATTATTCTTACCCGAGATGCATGGATACTTCTGAAAAAGTGGCGTGTGGGTGTCGTGTCCGACGGACACTTTCCTAACACATGTACAACACTCATTCAAACATGTCTTATTTTTTTAAAAAGAATTTAAACTCGGACACTTTTTGGACACTTGGAGGACATACGTGTCATTACTTAAACACACGTGTCCAATGCTTAAACACACACGAAACTAATTATAAATTTGAAAAAAATAACTTAGAATACATTGATAAAAGAAACTTAATGTCAATTCATAGAAATTAGTATTATATTGCATTCATTTATTGTCTTAGAATGATATATTCATACATATGGCATATAATAAATATATAAAATTATATATTTTGTGCGTGTTCTCCACATGTCGTGTCCTGCATTTTTTTAAAATTGCTGTGTTCGTGCTTCTTAGATTCTTACTAAATTTTTATACAAATTTTTTCACCAAAATGATGTAGATGTGGCATTTCACTAGTTAAATAACATTTTAGTGGGTACTCTATTTTTACATGATAAATTCCAATGCATCCACATGATTCTATATACAAATTATGTAACTTTTTTTGCTTTTATGTCATTACTCTTAGGTTGTCTTTGGATCATGGATTTGGATAAGTATTTGGAAGGGAAAAGAGAAAGGGAAAATATGGATGAAATGTAGTTATATTTCATTTGCATTTCACCTACCTTTTCTCTTTCCATTTCCAAATATCTATCCAAATCCATGATCCAAACACAGTGTTAGTAAATCGATAAAAGGTGTTTAAACTCTAAGGACTATAAGTTGGATCGCCACAATGTTCATTATACATCCACTGGAAGCATGATAACTCTCAACTTAAGACCTTAATTCCTAACTATTTTGGCAGGCTACACATTTTTTTCCCCCTTTCCCTGCAAGGGATGCTTCCACTCCATCTGATGTATTTTCACCAAGAATGTCATTGCATTCGCTCCCACTCCATGAATCAATTACATAGTTCCTACCTGGCTCCTCATGCTTAGATAGTGGTAGGATATGTCACGCAACTAACACCTAAAGGTAAACTAGCTCCCCACATTGCATTACTATGATTCCGGTTGGTAACCAACCCCATATAGATGATCAGCAGAAAAAAATGTCCTGCATTTTTTTAAAATTGCTGTGTTCGTGCTTCTTAGATTCTTACTAAATTTTTATACAAATTTTTTCACCAAAATGATGTAGATGTGGCATTTCACTAGTTAAATAACATTTTAGTGGGTACTCTATTTTTACATGATAAATTCCAATGCATCCACATGATTCTATATACAAATTATGTAACTTTTTTTGCTTTTATGTCATTACTCTTAGGTTGTCTTTGGATCATGGATTTGGATAAGTATTTGGAAGGGAAAAGAGAAAGGGAAAATATGGATGAAATGCAGTTATATTTCATTTGCATTTCACCTACCTTTTCTCTTTCCATTTCCAAATCTCTATCCAAATCCATGATCCAAACACTTTGTTAGTAAATCGATAAAAGGTGTTTAAACTCTAAGGACTATAAGTTGGATCGCCACAATGTTCATTATACATCCACTGGAAGCATGATAACTCTCAACTTAAGACCTTAATTCCTAACTATTTTGGCAGGCTACACATTTTTTTCCCCCTTTCCCTGCAAGGGATGCTCCCACTCCATCTGATGTATTTTCACAAAGAATGTCATTGCATTCGCTCCCACTCCATGAATCAATTACATAGCTCCTACCTGGCTCCTCATGCTTAGATAGTGGTAGGATATGTCACGCAACTAACACCTAAAGGTAAACTAGCTCCCCACATTGCATTACTATGATTCCGGTTGGTAACCAACCGCATATAGATGATCAGCAGAAAAACACAGTTTAACTCATTGAACTTTATAAAAATTGAGTGAAAATAAAAACTATATAACAAAGAAAAAAAGAAGAAGACAATAACAAAGTTGTACCATCACATAATTTAATTTCATGAAATAAAAGATAGAAGAAAAAGTGCAGCAAATTGATAATAACCCATAAAAGAAAAAAAAAAAACACACACACACAGAGAAACAAAGAAGAAAGTTACCATTCAATGAGTTTGGCAAAGGTAAGCTCGAAGAGAGTGATCATAGAATAGAGGATCCAATAAGTAAGCCATTGCCTATCATCTTCAGGAGATTTGGTCTCAATAGCCCTAATTGAGGCGTACCTGTCAAATTCCCATGGAAAACTCAGACTACACTAGTGCTGTGTTTGGTTAGGAATTTCGAAAGGGAAAGGGAAAAAATGTGTAAAATTAGGTAAAATGTATATATTTTATTCACATTTCACCCGCAAATTTGTTGGGTTTGTTCTACAAATTGTTGGGTTTTGTTTGTACAAATTGTTGGGTTTTGTTTGTACAAATTGTTGGGTTTTGTTTGTGCGAATTGGTCCCAACAATTTGTACAAATAAAAATGCAACTCAATCACAATTTAGAGAGAGAGAGAGAGAGAGAGGGCAGAAGGGTACTTACAGAGGATAAACAAGACTGACGACAGGCCTGAGAAATAAAACACAAGGAATATAAGAGTGAGATCAGAAGGGTGGGGGTTTGATTTGTAGTTAGCAATCTGGAAATGGGTAAAGAAAAGAAGAGAATAGAAGAAAATACCCGGCGAGAACGTCGAAGTTGTTAGCAACAACCTTGAGGAAGTTTCCAGTTCCAGATCCCATTTTCTCTTTAGTACTTCACACACAGATTTCTTTGTATCGTTGGGTGCTCTGCTCTGATCTGAAGATGATGGAAACTATTCAAAGGGTTTTTGTAAGTTAGTTGTGGAGTGGTTCAGTTCAGAGAATTGTTTATTGAGATAGATAATAGAGACAGAGAGACAGAGTGAAGAAGGGAAGCGAACAAATGTACAGAAGAAGAAAACGCGGAGATGGGTAGTGGGAAACTCTGATTAATTAGTCAATTGTCGGTGAGAAAAGGAGCAATTTGGGAAAATAAACTAAAACGTTAAGCTCCTTTAAGCCTCTCAAATTATAATTTTATCTATTAGTTTAAGTGTGATATTTATTTTAAATTTTTAAATCATAATTCTATATTTATTTTTTAAAATTCAATTCAAAATATAATTATTACTTTTTAAAATTCATAATCAAATACATAATTCAAAACTTAATTCAAATTAATATTTTAATTTTTTATATATTTTAAAAATATTTTAATTTTTTATATATTTTAAAAATATTTTAATTTTTTATATATTTTAAAAATATTTTAATTTTTTATATATTTTAAAAATATTTTAATTTTTTATATATTTTAAAATCTGAATTTCTCTGCTTTGTAAATTTCTCTGGAATATGTATCCTTCTCTGCAATGTCAATTACACTCTTGCCTCTGTCTTAAGTTTCTCTGGTATTTATAATTTTCTCTGGAATGAATGTTTCTTCTTGGAATTTTCTCTGCCATATGTACTTTGAGAAAAAGTTATTTCTCTGAATTTTGATCTTATTCTTGAATATGTTTCTGTCATTTTGTATCTGAATTTCTCTGCTTTGTAAATTTCTCTGGAATATGTATCCTTCTCTGCAATGTCAATTACACTCTTGCCTCTGTCTTAAGTTTCTCTGGTATTTATAATTTTCTCTGGAATGAATGTTTCTTCTTGGAATTTTCTCTGCCATATGTACTTTGAGAAAAAGTTATTTCTCTGAATTTTGATCTTATTCTTGAATATGTTTCTGTCATTTTGTATCTGAATTTCTCTGCTTTGTAAATTTCTCTGGAATATGTATCCTTCTCTGCAATGTCAATTACACTCTTGCCCCTGTCTAAGTTTCTCTGGTATTTATAATTTTCTCTGGAATGAATGTTTCTTCTTGGAATTTTCTCTGCCATATGTACTTTGAGAAAAAGTTATTTCTCTGAATTTTGATCTTATTCTTGAATATGTTTCTGTCATTTTGTATCTGAATTTCTCTGCTTTGTAAATTTCTCTGGAATATGTATCCTTCTCTGCAATGTCAATTACACTCTTGCCTCTGTCTTAAGTTTCTCTGGTATTTATAATTTTCTCTGGAATGAATGTTTCTTCTTGGAATTTTCTCTGCCATATGTACTTTGAGAAAAAGTTATTTCTCTGAATTTTGATCTTATTCTTGAATATGTTTTGTCATTTTGTCTCTGAATTTCTCTGCTTTGTAAATTTCTCTGGAATATGTATCCTTCTCTGCAATGTCAATTACACTCTTGCCTTTGTTCTAAGTTTCTCTAGTATTTATAATTTTCTCTGACCACATCGCACCACTTTCCTCCCTTGAGTGTCTCTATCATGGTTAATTTTCTCTGCTTGTGTATGTAAATTTTTCTTGCATTTTAATATTATGAATTGAAATTTTCTCTGGAATGGAAATTTCCTCAAGAATGTGTAATTTTTTTCAGAATGTGCATTTTTCTCTGGTATGTTTATTTTGTTCAATTCTTGATTTCAATATGGTGTAATTCTCAGTGGCTTGTTTACATTACTTTGTTTATTTTATCTTTGTTAATTGTGGAATGGAAATTTTCTTTCGCTTGCCATGTTTACTTTTTTTTATCATTCATTTTCTCTGGTATGTTTACTTCTATATGTAATTTTAACAATTTTTGAAAATTTTTTTGCCATGTTTATGTTGCTTTGTTGATTTTCTCTAGGAATGGAAATTTTTCGTGGCTAGATGTATTCCACAGAAAAACAATTAGTACTCTGATATTTAATTTTTAGTGTCTAATTTTCTCTGACATTTATAATTTTCCCTGGCCCACCTTAGTTTTCTCCCTTATGTGTAATTTTCTCTGACATGTCCAATTTTCTCTGGGATTTAGTGTTGACATCTTTATGTTTTAATCATTGTCTAGAAATGGCAAAACGTAAAAGCAGCGAAACATCGGAAACACCAAGCAAAAAACAGAAACTGTCTCAGTCTTCTTATGGACTAAGATAAAAAACCAATAGCAAAACACTACAAACACCAAGCAAGAAAGAACAACTCTCTCAGTCCTCTTATCATCTAAGATCAAAAACCAGCACTAAAACACCACAAACTCCTTCCCAAAACACACAAGTCCAAGCTGATGAAGCAACTAGCATCCAGATGAGTACCCCAACTTCAAAAGACTCAAGCTCAAGGGGGAAAAAACCTGTTAAACTCCACAGAAAGAGAGCTCACTACAGCATTCAATACCGATCCAACCTGTCATCTGTCGTCTCCTTCTTTCAAACACTTAAATTCAGTTCAAAACATCTTCTAGAGCTTCAAAAGACCCCATTCTGGTATTTGATTCAAGCTCTAACCACTGGAAGGATGGATCCAAAGAAATCTAGGAAATCCGATGATGTAGTTGCCATAATCCAATGTTACAATGAAAAAACAAAAGCATTCACAGTTGGGAAGAAGAACCTGACCTTTACAACAAATGACATGACCTTGATTTTTGGTTTGGAAGGAGGTAAAGGAGCCATGTCATTAAGATACTCTAAAAAGCCAAAATCTGCATTCCTCAGGAGAAGATTCCAAAAGGACACAAGGCTCACTGGTCCTGTTCTTAAAAATGCCTTGGTCAAAGCAATGAAAGGCAAGCAACCAACTGACTTCAAAGATGTAGCAATCATTGTTACATTGTACAAACACACTTTAACCGATATTGGAAAATTTCTTTGGATGAATTTGATTGATATTATTATATACACTGTCTAAAAAATACATTTCACAAAACAAAATGCACAAAGTAATCATCAAATGTATTATTTAATCAATAAAATGTATAATCCTCAACTATTTAATAAAGGTTCCTTGCATGTCCTCTTGTTATGGTGACCAATACTCTCACAACGACTACACTTAATCACCCTTTTAAACTCTCCAGTAGAAGCAATTCTGTTCTTCTTCGGCCTCCCAGTAGGTCATTTGCTCAATGGAGGTAAAATCATAGCATCTTCAATGCTACACACAGGTTTTTCAACAGTTGGAACTGGGCCAATCGAAAACGAGTATGCTTGACGATACATATCAGCATGAAAAAATGGTTCAACAAATGAATTCAAATTCTTTCCACTCCTAAAAATTGCAGCAACAGCATGTTGACATGGATACCCATTTATTTCCCATTTTCGACATGAACAAGTTCTCAACCCAAGATCAACCATAACCGAAGGAAAACAATGCACTTCAAAGACATTATCAGATGATAAACTCACATTCCATGTCCTCCCGTCCAAAAAATACTTCTCCAACACACTATCCATACGAGGACACAGAATTTTATTCCATTTACTAGAGAGCAGCCTCCACCAAATTTGTTATTGGCAAGTGCCGAGCTTCTCGTATCCATGAATTGAATGACTCAGCAACATTTGAATACATCTCACCATAACGTTTCCCCGCAAAATGTGCATCACTCCCATTTTCATATGGTAAACTTCTCAAGAAAACACTCACAATGTCTCCTCCCTCACTTTTTAATTCATTTAACTTGAAATGAAATGATACCTTTGTTAGAGCATATGCACATTTTGAAAACTTGGACACAATCGTCTCCCTAACCAAATTTGTGTTTCCACATGACAACTTATCCCTCAAATTTCTCTTTAGATGTTCCAGACAAAATCCATGAAAGCAGTTAGGGAAAAACCTAGCAATTCCCTCCACAATTCCACAATGTCGATCTGATATGAAACTTATCACCCTTTCTGATCCTAATACTCCACATAAATGTTCAAGAAACCAACACCAATTGTCTTTATTCTCAGCATCAACAACAGCAAAAGCTACAGGAAAAAAACCTACAAAACAAATAGGAACAAGCATATTAGATATACACATGTAGAGAAAAATAGAACAATAAACAACCAGAGAAGTTTGACACTGCCAACATCCAGAGAAAATTCACTTAGTGCCCAACTCCAGAGAAAATTCACACATTGGCAACATCCAGAGAAAATTGACTTAGTGACCAGCTACAGAGAAAATTCACACAATCATAATATACAGAGAAAACTCACTTAGTGACCACCTACAGATACAATTCACACAATGACAACATCCAGAGAAAATTCATACACTGACCAAAATCCAGTGAAAATTCTCACAGTGGCCACAATAATAGAAAATCCACACAGTGGCCAAAACCAGAGAAAATTCACATTCACTCAATTCCTACATGTATAGAAAATTCACATACTTAGATAAAATTAGATATATTTACAATTACCTTCATTCCCATCTTTCCCTGTTGTAGCAAGCATAACTCCTTTGTATCGTCCTTTCAAAAATGTTCCATCAAGAAAAAGCAATGACCGACAATATTTGAAACCAGCAATGCATCCATGAAAAGCCACAAACACTCTTTTGAAAACGCTTGTTATCTTCAAAATCTAACTCAAAACGACTACCTGAATTGTTCTTCAATGCCTCATCAAAATACTACCGTAATTGATCGAATGACAAACAAGAATCCCCATATGTACTACGTTTTTCTTTTTCAACCCCCAACCAACCACAGTTATAACTGATTGAGACCCCATCCTTGTCTTTCATTTCTTTCACAACATCCACTGGACGAGTTAAAGGTTTTGCACTTACCTCTTCAAGTATCAGCCCAGAAACTAAGCTGGAAGGCATCCTCGAATGTTTACTCGTACGAACCGCCACACCACACGTATGTTCATTGTTCAAAGTCCTTATGTAGAAGAACCCATTTGTTTTTTCAATAGAAACATGTACACGCCACATACATCCCCTTGATTCCTTATATGCACATTCTGCCGTAACCCTCAGCTTGTCATTTTTAACATACGTAAACTGAAAACCAACCTCAATAGCATACTTGCATAAAAAAGTACGGAACTCAACCACACCACCCTCAAACTTTTGTCCAGCACTCGTAATATTATTCCGCCAACTAGCCGACAATAACACATTTTCTTGGTGAGAACAAAACTTAGAGAATGAATTCCTTTCAACATCCACCAGCCTATCACACTCACCATCCACAACATCGACCCAATTAGACCCCACTTCATCCTCTTCATCAGAAGTACTACATCTACTAACTGAAACATCAACTATATCAACACCGCGTGCACAAACAACCCTCAACATATTCAGAAAATCAATTTTATTTCGAACCATACAATTCGGATGGCCCAAAATAGAATATGAAATACACATAGTCTTAGGTTTCAAATTCTCCCATGTTTTACACAAAACGCCAACCAATTCCTCAAAATTCAATTCGCATGAAACATTAATGACAATAGTATCATTCCCATATTTGCACAGCAACAATACTGCACTGTACATTGAAACTGAAACAAAAAACAACAAAAATAATTTGTTTAACATAGAAACACTTCACAAGAACAACATAAAAGTTCAGAGAAATTTTTAAAAATTATAATTTTCTCTGAACTTAAAATAAAAGTCCAAAGACATTTACAAACTGATATTCACCTTCAAGATGATAAAAAAACAAAATCACAGAAACTTAATGAATCACAGAGAAATTTACTGCTAACTATTAAACACAATTATAGAAAAAAAATCACATAGACTACAAGTCCAGAGAAATACTTTTCTCTGAACTACAAACTGAAAGTGAGTAACAAACTTACAATTTTCTCTGAACTACAAATACAAGTCCAAAGAAATTTGTGAACTTACATTCACTTTCTCATATTCTATCTGCATTACAAACTTCTAATAATATATTCATATGCACTTATAATTTCCTTTGGACTACACAAAAAAAAAGTGCAGAAAATGAAATTTCTCTGGTTTGAAAAAACATAGAACAAAACTTATCATTGATCAGCATATTGATAAAAAACAGAGCACCAAAAATGAACTCTAAACATCAAAATCACCTACACTGTCAACACTATGTGAAATTGATCAAAAAATAAAGAATGAAAAATTAATTCCAAAAATAAAAATCAACTCTATCAAGCTGGCCTCTCTCTAAACAAAAATTCAAAACAAAAATCAAAATCCATGTGGAATCTAAATCGAAAACAAACTTAATTCAACTCCACTCAAAAACCTACGCGATCAACACACTCTCAACACTCTTTGAAATTGATTAAAAAACAAATAATAAAAAATTAATTCCAAAAATAAAAATCAACTCTATCAAGCTGGCCTCTCTCTAAACAAAAATTCAAAACAAAATCAAAATGCATGTGGTATCTCCATCGAAAACAAACCAGATTCAACTCCACTGAAAATCTACGCGATCAACACACTGTAACACCACTGAAATCTCCGACGAAATCTCCAACGAAATCTACACGATCGTAGCAATCTTTCTCGTCAACTCCACTGAAATCTCCGACGAAATCTCCACCATGAAATCTCCACTGAAATCTCCGACGAAAACTCCGACAAAATCTCCACTTCAAATTCGGTTTCCAAAATCTATCAGTTAAGTCAACAATATAATATTCAAACAAATTTATGTTATAAAGGAAGGGTAATTTAGGTACTTTATAATCTAAAATAAATTTGAGGGATCTTAGCCATCAAAACATATTATAAAGGACCTCTCCTCCTATCAAAAGTAGAGGAGGGACCTTAGGCCAATTTTCTCTTTGTTTTATGTGTTTGATTATGATTTGAGTATAGAGCTGTTTTTAAATTTAAAACATTAAAATTTTAAATTACTTAAATTTTTTGAATATTTAAATTTTTAAGATTTAAATTTTTTGAATATTTATTTTAATTTTTTACTTATTAAATTTTTTAGATTATTTAAATTATTTAAACATTTATGATTTAAATTTTTTGAATATTTATTTTGAAAAAAAATTATTTCCTTTGTAGTATTTTCAATTAAAAAATTGATTAATGTTATTTTTTTAAGAGCAATGATAAAATAAAACCAATAAGAAAGATAAGTTCACATTAGACATTCATTTTCCTTTTTATCTTATTTTTTGTATAGTTTCATCATCTTATAATTTAAGACAGATTTTTTCAGCTTGTCATCAACTTAGATGACACTTTCTTAGAAAGCACAGATACAGATATGGCATAAGGGTATGATACAATAGGGATACACGGATATGGAGTGGGTAGGAGAAGGCGTAGCAAACACAAACTGGGGTGGAGAAGAAATTTGAGCAACCTTGAAACGGGTCTCCTCAGCAAAAAGTTCCTGAACCAAGCCATCAACAGAAGGAAAAAATATTCTGTGTAACAAGTACTCCACGTCACCTACGTTATGTGGAGTCCCATTCCACCAATAATATGACACGCCTAGCTGACTCTCTCTCTCTCTCTCTCTCTCTCTCTCAGGCACACAGAAACACTCTTTGTCTACTTCAAAAAACAGAGGACAAATTTTGACAGAATCGGCAGGGAACTCAAATACCCCATCTGGTAATTTCCACAGACAAGCACACATTTATACGCTTATAGGTATGTGCGTATCTACATTTCTCTAGACTGAATTTTTTTGGCATCTAAACATGTAACCATATCTATGCATTGGCCTATATTATTCATACATATAAAATTGTAGTAGTTAACCCTTTAAATTTCTAATCAAGTATCAATGTATCATTTTGTTACTCTATTATTTAAGTTTTTAACAGAGTTTGTTCATGTGACTACGAAATGAGGAAAAAAAAAATTATCTATATTTTTCAATAATACACACGTTATTCCTATGTAATAAGCATTTAGATTGTGTTTGATTCATGAATTTGGAGAGAGATTTGGAAAGAAAAAAGAAAAATGTATGTAAAATTAGGTGAAATGTAAGTATATTTATTCACATTTCATCGTCTTTTTCTTTTCCCTTTTTAAATCCCTCTCTAAATTTTTGAACCAAACACAATCTTAATAGTTCCATGATACAGGCCCAATTTGAGGTGAACTTTTTTGGCTAAAATAGCAACCAAAAAAAAAAAAAAAAAACATCCAATCACATTCCCCAACTACTTTTTGCAAGTCTTTTTTGTAAAAAGTCAATTAAAATAGTCAATTCTCAAACGGTGTTATATATAGGTGATTATTTGGTAGTCCTAGAGTATGATCACGTGGTGTTCCATGGTAGTATAATTGATGAAAAATGTGGAGTATTGATTATATGTGTTGGGTAATTGATGAACATGAGGAGGGCATAATTGGTGAGGAAGCATGACCATGTGATTCTCCAAGACTGTTGTATAATTTTCCATATATATAGTTTGGCCAACTTGAGATAGTGTTTGGATTTGGTAGATTCATTTTGGGAGTGATCTCAGTAATCTAAACTGTTTACAATTTAAGGCTTATTGAGTAAAATATTCATACAAAAAAATTAAGATGATTGAATATCGGTAATTATATGTTTTAATCATATTTGTTTTTAAAAAATGGATGACAATTATAATTTTAAGAATAGCCATCCATTTTTTGTAATACAAATTTAATTGAAACGTATAACTATTGATGTTTGATTATATTATTTTTCTGCATTAATATTCTACTTAATGAGTCCTAAAAGTTAACGACTTGAATCACCGAAATCAGTCTCAAAATGGGCTTTTCAAACCCAAAAGCTTTCTCAAGTTGAAATGGCCAACTAAAGAGCGCGTTCAACCCCAAGGGGTTAGCCTAGTAGGTACAACTTAGAGCCAAGGTGTATACTCCTGATCTACGTGGAGGGGGCGCTTTGCGTGGATTCCAAGATTAATTGAAGTAAACGTAAGTTGGCCCAGACTCCTATCAAATAGGTATATATGTTCATAAGCTGAAAATATGGACGAAGAGGTAAGAGAACAAAGCTTTTGAAATTAGAAAAATCGAAGAGAAAGAAAGAAGAATAGACAGAAGATTGTGTTACTGTGAAAAAGAGAAATTCGTTATTCTAATTTATGTAAAACCCTAATTCATTTTCTTAATCGTTCATAATTTGTGTTTTATTTTAGTCAAATACATTTAAAATTTGATGTAAATTTTGAGACAAAATATGTATAAGTGAGAAATAGGGGTGATTTTTCTAATTTGTCCTCATTCTATAGTTATATGCTTGTCATATTATTGACTTAAAGACTTATATAATAAAGTAATAAAAGAAGGACATTGACACTTGATCAAAAATATAAGTGATTGATTGTCACAATTTTAAATGCAGATATAAAGTGAGATTTGATATAAAGTGTAACACTACAAAGTGTTATTTACCATGAATCTACTTTTCGAGGGTCAGACCATAGTGCTATAAATTAGTTTAGTAACAAAAAAATAAAAAAATAAAAAATACATATTACATTTTAGAGTTAC